TGTCTGTCTGTCTATCTATTTATCTATCCCCTCCACCTACCTACCTACTCGCTCTCTCCCCCTACCTATCTACTGTATTTCTCTCTCTCTCTCTCTCTCCCTCCCTCCCTCCCTCCTTCCCTCCACCTACCTACCTACTCGCTCTCTCTCCCTACCTATCTACTGTATTTCTCTCTCTCACTCTCTCTCCCTCCCTCCCTCCCTCCCTTTATCTACCTACCTACATACCTAACGACTCTCTCTCCCTCCCTCCCTCCCTATTGTATTTCACTCTCTTTTTCTCCCTCTCTATCCGTCTATCTACCTACCTACTTTTTTTAAAAAAATTGCCTCTTCAAAACTTTGGTGCGTCTTATACTCCAGTGCATCTTATACTCCAAAAATACGGTAACTTTCAAAGCTCTTGCAACCCATTCTGTAACTGCAATTCAATTTACCACTCTTATTTTTGATGCCAAACATAATCTGTAGTACAATGTGTGAAAAGGATCACAATCTTGATTTACATCTGTTGTCTCGTATATTTGGAATAGTGGCTTACAATTTGATCTTAATCACTTTGAAACCAAGCTTCCTCAATAATAAAATTTTTCTATTCTAATATGCATGTGTGCAGAGCTATTCTTGAAAAGAATCTCCTCATGTCTTCAATATTTAAACTGCAATCTGTGATATTGTTAGCAATTCCACTTTAACTTCAGAACTATTTGCATGCCTTGAAATGAACACACTTTGCGTTAGAACACAATTAAAGTGTAACAGATTTAATAATCTGGAAGCAAAGGACCAAGAATGGAGACCTACAAAGATTTAGCAATATTCTACATTGCTACTTCATATATATTCATTTGTGAGCATTGCCATAATTAAAATAACCGGTTTATTATCTCTGCATAGAAGCCTTGCATTTATTTATGTGTTTTACATGGAAATTGGGGGGGAAACAATTTGTACATTTTAAACCATGCAAAATGTATGTCTTTAATGAAATAAAATGCATATTTTGAATACATTGAAATGTTTCATGCATATGTTGACATATCTGAGCTGAAACCAATTCCAAATTTATAAGAGTGGTCCCACATCTAAACATAATCATGTTCAAGTGTCTGTGTGATCCTACATAGGAATAAAATGCAGATCAAACACACCTCAAGCATTCACAAAATGAAAGGTTTTTCATCTTTCAGCTCGTCTTTCTAACTCTATTGTGGCTCTTAAATTACAATTGAAAAACTGGGTTTCTAGTTTGCTACTTAATTACAGTAGTAATTATAGGGTGTCAGATGGGAGATGCTGCCCTGCCTCTTTTAACCTCTGTATCTCCAATTCTCAGAAATTACTCTTCAGATACCTTTGACCAGAATTACTTCACCTTTTATGGATTGATAGATGGATATAGACCCAACGATTTCCATACAGATTTAATACAGTGCCTTTTATTAAATTCAGTTTTAAAGATGTTAAGAGATTCAGCTTGCCTAATAATTATAATATTGTATTGTTTGTTGAATCCTTAAGGTTCTACGCACATCAGGACACTTATAGTGAAAAATATGGGTGCTCTTGAGTAGTTTCTGATCATTTTAAATGGAGACTTCCTGTTTGTTTTTCCTCAATATAAAACAAATGGCGTCCAGGAGTAAGTGGGACAACTTTAATGGATGAAGCAACCAAGGTCATTTTAAAAGCCCAATTGCAACACTGCTGATGTTGTTTTTAGAATGAGTTCAATAAGGTATAGTAACCTTATCAGGCTATGATAACTATGTTTCTCGATAGGGTCTGACGTGTCACAAACATAAAACTGTCTCATCATGTTAATATGGCCCAAGTGGCATGGGTTAGTTTAGTGCTGAATATTGTTAAAATATGCTATATAATCTCGCTAAGATAACACACCAAAAGAATGGAGGTGTGAAGAGAGTCCTTGTAAGAGGTTGTCATTGTCCCCAGCTTACATGTGAGGGTACAGAGCAGTTAACAGGCAATATGTTATTAAACTGTCATTCACAGTAAGAGAAACTTCTCATTCTTCTAATTTGCTATTAAGTTGCTGTTACAACAGACTTTCTTAAAAACAGCTTTCTAACTACCACTCCACATTAATGTATAGATAAAATGTAAAGGTCCCCCTCGCACATATTTGCTAGTTGTTCCCAACTCTAGGGGCAGTGCTCATCTCCGTTTCAAAGCCGAAGAGCCAGCGCTGTCCGAAGATGTCTCCGTGGTCATGTGACCTGCATGACTAAACGCCAAATGTGCACAGAACGCTGTTCCTTCCCACCAACGGGGGTTCCTATTTTTCTACTTGCACTTTTACATGTTTTCAAACTGCTAGGTTGGCAGAAGCTGGGACAAGTAACGGGAGCTCACTCCATTATGTGGCATTAGGGATTCAAACTGCCAACCTTTCTGATTGACAAGCTCAGCGTCTTAGCCACTGAGTCACTGCGTCCCAATGTATAGATGCATTCTTGTAAATGAAAATAGAGCATGACTGTTTATATAAAATTCCAATATCAGATTATTCTGTTATATAGAGAGATGCTTCTTAATATCCTGGTTCTTAATGTATTTACTTAGAAATTAACTTCATTGATACTTCTTCCAAATTATAGATAGAAGATAAGGCTACCATGATTTCCTTGGCTAGCAATTAGGCAGACGAGGCCATTTTTAAACTCACTCGATAGTGAGATGGGTGGCATATAATTTTAGTAAACAAACATTTTTGTACAAAATTTAAGGTCATAGCCACACAGATCTATCTCTTTCTGGATATTACTGCCTGGTTGACAGGGACGAAAGACTACATAGAATATTTATCCACAAGATTTAATAACTACTGTAACTGATGTCATTGTTGCTTGAGAATGAACAATTCTGATGCATTAGCTGTATCAATTCTGGATTTTGTTGCTTGTTTTTTTAATCAGAAACCAAAGATCCACCAACAGAGCAAAGTTCAAAAAATGCATGTTTAGTATTACAGAATTAAGTTTCTTGCAAGCATATTTTGAGTGCAGAAATGTGCAGAATCTGAACTGAAATATCACTCAGGATATTTCCCCCTTCCTATTTTCAATTATTAATTTAATTATAGAAAGAAATGTCTACTTTTGGTTGCCACTGGAAACTTTCAGCGATCTAATATATTCTAAATGTCAACATCCTTTGAGTGAGGGAAGGTAAGTCCATGACAGCTACTTTACAGGCAGATATACCATAATATATGTAATTCTTAGTTGCACAGCCTGTCCTAAAATCTATACCAGATCTCTACAAGGCAACCACAATCATCAGAAGGACATCCAGGATATATGCTTTCTAAGCTACTTATTTTTTAAAGTCGTTTTGATTCTAAGAATCAAACTTTTAATGCCAGTACATATATTGCTATTTCAAATAGAACTAGGTTCATCTGAAAGATTTTTAAAGAATAATTTTCTACTATTAACATTATTCAGATCTCTCTCGATCTCTCTCACTTTCTCTTCCCCCACCCTCACCCCCATCAAGCTTGTGATGTGAGGATATCATTTAAGTGTCGAAGCTGAGGATAATATGTGTTGAGAATGGAACATTCAGTATCAGAGCATAATTGAGTTGAGAATTTTGGTAAAAAGAATAAGACAAATTAGTAGCTGTTCCACGCTTTTGCAAAATAAAACTTCAAAAACACACAATCCACCTGAATAGTCAATTGACAACACTTCATGAGACAGGTTGATCCATCTGAATGACTGGTTAAGAAGCCCAAGCTGGTAAGTTTCAATTGAATTAGGGCGGTGGGGGGGACTGAGAACTTCCGGCAGGAAATTCACTTGTGCAGGTTCCACTAAAGTCACCAAGATCCTTGCAGAATTATACATATTATGGAGTGCAGGAGGACTTTCTATTGGATTGTACCTGTGACTAGAAAGCAAGCTTTCATTCTAGTTGAAACATACAACATAACATTCTAGTTGAAAATAACGCTAGGGATATAATTACAGAATTCTAAGTTCCACCTCCTGTCAGGACCCCAAAGAGATTGTATGCAGCCTACCTTTTGCTTCCCAGCACATAGGTTCCCCTCGCACATATGTGCCAGTTGTTCCCAACCTTAGGGGGTGGTGCTCATCTCCATTTCAAAGCCGAAGAGCCAGCGCTGTCTGAAGATGCCCCCGAGGTCATGTGACCGGCATGACTAAATGCTGAAGGTGCACAGAACGCTGTTACCTTCCCACCAAAGGTGGTTCCTATTTTTCTACTTGCATTTTTACATGCTTTTGAACTGCTAGATTGGCAGAAGCTGGGACAAGTAACNAAAAGTGAAAAAGTGGTGCTTATTCTAAGTGATTTTATCAAGACATATTTGGGGGAGAAATACTGCAGGTAACTTTCTTTGTAAATTATTATAAGTTGTACTTCTTGAGCAGTACAAAATGGAATTTTTTAAAACTCCTAGCAAAATAAAATGACTAACTTACTTTGTAACTTTCAGTTTTATGTGTTGCAAAATTGGAGCATGACCTGATGTAAACTTCTGGAGATAAGCCCCAGCTGCACAGTAATGTTGCTTGAAGTTGTACAAG